TTGTAGATTTTTCAAATCTTACAAAATTGTTTTGATGCTGAGTGTAGGGCTCTTTAACCATTCGCATATACTGCCGGTTGTATTTGATTGTTGTTTTCTGATTATCAACTTACACACGCTTTCAACATTTTGTTCTCTCCAACTAATTATTAGTTTTTTTCTAACCTTTTCAATTTTTTTATAGCTGTTAAAAAATTTTTGAAATAATAAATAGCAAAGAGAGCAAACTGTTTTATTTGTTTATACAATTCTTTAATTTACTGATAAAAAATTCTGCACAAAAATTCAATTGTACAGATTTTAGTTGTTTATAAAATTTTGCAAAAATTGTCTTTTTGAAGAATTAAAATTTTTTTATATACTCTACTTAACGCATTGACTGTTCTAATGCTGTAGAAGAGCACTGAATAATTAATTGTGGCCGACTTGAAAATGGAAATAGAAAGATTTTTAGTCATCTGTTTAGAAAAGATTGAACATTTGCTAACAAGTATCAGAAAAAGAATGTTTTAGAAACTTATATGTAAAGCCTAGTCTTATTGTAGAATAAGTAAAACTAGTAAAAAAGTTTTTGATTAATCGTTATTGTTAGACTTCAAATAATCAACTAAGCATATCAGAAAATATTGGCAATAAATTTCAAAAATGAACATATTGAATGCTTGGTAAAAGTTGAGGAGTATTGCCATTTAGTCAAAACGATCAAGGTCTGCAGCTCTTTAATCACCATACTGAATAGCCATCAAAACAGTCCTGCCTTATTAATTATGCTACCGGAAAGCAAACTTTATTGCATATTCTTAGATCAAATCTGTATTTCATTGCCCGAAACAGCTTTCTTAAAAACTTGACCAACAAAAGTTCAAAATAATTAAAACTCAATTTACTACGTTCGTTAGAATTAAGTGCTTCTTTGAAAAGCACATAATTTTTTCTATACCAGTCCGAACAATCCGAACAAACCTTTGTAATATTAAAGGTACCATTTGTTGCCGATTGTTCCAAAACTAAAAAAGCTTTTTAGAAAAACTGTATCTATCTGTTAGATACAATAATTTGTGAAGCAGAAACTTTTCTGTTGTTTTATGCCAGGTTAGTATCGAGCTCTGTCAAATGTAAGATTTATTCATTTCTTCACCTTTTTGATTTGTAGTAAAAAAAACTGTTTTTGCATGTAATCACAGTAAGAATCGCACTATTGACACAAAACTTGAATGTTTTGCTATCAAACTGATTTCAGTTGTTGTTGTCACTGAAAGAAATGATTTTTGTGTTGGCAATTCATGGAGTAATTGACTGGTGACTAAGTTACACAGTGACTTCCGGAGGGAATTTGACTCTGAACGTTTTCTAAAAGATTTCTTCCAAATTCTAGCATTAAAAAATGACAGCAATTTCCTGTTCACTTTTAGGGTTTAACAAATTTTTTTCTGGAAAACAAGTTGATTCTACAGTATTTTCTTGACTCTCATACAGTTACCTTAATGTATGATACTCTAATATATCATTTGTTTATTTTTAATACAGCTCATTTACAAAGTACTGTTGCATCCCAGGCTATCAAGTCAATACCATAACCGAAAAGGTCAAACACTGTTAAAACAATTCAGTTTTTTTTATAAAATAAAATCCAAATTTCATAGCTATGTTTGTACTAGTTTTATTCACTTTAATTTTTCTTATTTTGGATGAGAAAAGCTGTCAACAAATTACTATTTTAAAACCAAAACTGACTACTAAATCCTATATTTTCGGCCAACAAATCTTGTCTTACTGCTCTAATAATGACTGAGCCGGTTATGAGCCTTCCTCAATACTTCTTGCAGAGAAACTTGTGCTAAACTTTTGAAAACGTATAGCAAACTGTTAAAATACAAAAATTCACGTATTTTTTCCGTATATTACTAATTTCCATTTAAAGTTGTAAAAAAACCTTCCAAACTCTGCCTGCATTTTATTATTTCCAGCAGACTGTAATTGGCAGCTAAATCTAAATGCTTTTTTCAGTGACCTTTAATGCCATAAAAGATTTTATTATCAGCCTGTATTGCAACATTCAAATTATGTTCTTGTACTTGAAAAAAACCTCTTCATTATAGGAATAAATTTAACCTATCAAAGCTTTTCTCCCTGTTACAAACAAAAACGATCAATCTCTTAGAAAAAGAAAAAATGTAAAAATCCAAAAAGAAAAACTAATTTTAGCAAAAATGATAAATTATCTCTCTTTTATGTGCACAGTTTTGACTGCTATCATCTCTGAACTATTTCTTTGTTTAACATTTTGAAACTTTGGCTAACATTTTCCAGTTGAGATTTTAAAAGAAAATAAAAAAGGTGCCACGTTGCATCAACTAATACCGCTCTTGAATTTCTTTAGCAAAAAGTTAAATTTTTTTTTTTAGAATAACGGTAAAGACAGAATGTTTATAGCAAATATCTACAGCAGTTTACATCGAATGATTTACCAGCAAAAAGCATTAGTCGTTATTTGCCATTTGTCACTCACATCTCAAACAGTTCATGTTTTCTGACGTGCAGCTCGAGCTTCAAATTGTCTTTTCTTAAATATTTGCCAAAAAAATTTGAGACAACAGAATACACCAAAATGTGGTTTAAAAGTACTTGAATTGTAGTAGCCAAAGTGAAAGATAATGGTTCTTTAAATAGATCGCAACTTCTAACAAACCCATCGTTTATCAAGTTTGTTTTACAGGAAAGGAATGTAAGGATGATGATAAAAACTGTTACGACTGGATTTTAAGTGATCGCAGCCTTTGTAAAACTGTAGACTATATCGTCAGAAGTTGCAAAAAATCTTGTAATTCATGCGGTACAAAGTCTGCAGTTGAGAGAAGTTTGCTCAAAGAAAATTTTTTTAACAGTCCTAAACGACCTTCTAAAAAAATATTAACTGTTGGTAAATCCTAGGTGTTGCATTTAAAAGATACGGTAAGGGTAACTTTCAGAATTTGATGTGAAGTACTTGCCATTCAATCTTCGACCACTGGCCTGGCTTGTAGGCAAATGGAGATCAGAGCACGGTGGTAAAGCAATTTTTCCGACCATACCAACTTTCACTTACGGTGAACAAATCGAGTTCTCAATTCCGTCAATGAATATGAAAGCAATCAAGGCACTAAATTACACGTAAGATTTATTTCCTAAAAGCTTTACATCATCATACATATAACCGGTTTTAAACTCGCAAACAGCATTTAATTCAATCCTATAAAGAAAAAAACAAGCGATGCTAAAATTTAACTCCTCAGTCTTAACAAGTCCATTTTTTTCACTGAAGCTTAACACTTTAAGCCTATTAATGTGCAAGAAGCACCTTTTGCTACCACCACAACAAGCAATTTCATCTTTCACTAGAAGCAATTCAACAAGCACCTATGCTATCTAATTGCTAAGCACTCCTGACTTGTTCAGACAATATGTTTGTTGGTACTATTAACAGCATCAATAAACTTATTCTGATCGCAAGAAAAGAATTTATCTTCCTTACACTACAGAGCTGATCAATTACTAATTTCAAAATTCTATTTTCAGAGCGTTTGCATGGGGAATCAATGATATGAACGAACTGCACAGCGAATATGGCTATATTACAATGAAACCGCGAACCAACATTGCCTCACTAACTACAGTTATGGACAACGGTCAGTTCTTTAGAACTGATTATGGTCAAAACAGATTTTAATAGTAAAATCACAGCTGTCACTGCACTCGACAATTTTAGATTTGAAGAACAAATTATTTCAGGATTTGTCACTATTGAAGAAGGACCTGTCAGAAACAACAAGGTTGAACTGCGGCTTTACAACATCGGTAGGATCAGTTTTAGTCGTGACCTTCCGGTACACAATGTAAGTACCACCCAGTTCTTCATTTGTTGCTCACCAATCTTGCAGATTTTTCATAAGAATCATTTAAAAAAATTAATAAATAATTAAAACAAGCTTCCTTTTTTTTTTAAAAACTTGTTCCCAATTTAAGAAACTGCTCTGAAATTCTAACTAGTTTCTCAAATGAATTCTAAGTTCACTTCTTCCATAGCATCACTTTATCCAAAAAAATTTCGCAGTATAAATTAATCAGATGTCCCTTCGAAAAGCTCCTTTGCTCCTTCTGCACCTCCTGACTTTAACTGTAAGAAAAACCGTATGAAAACTCTGTATGCTTGTTTTATGCAATCTGTACTTTAACTACCTGATAGACTAACTTACTTGATCCTTTAAAACTTTCTTAAAAGGCCAACCAAAAACCTATTAAAACTTCAGCCCACCACAAATATTTTTTCTATTCCTTCAGATATTCCATAATAATAGTGAACAAAACTATCCGCTTTTGCATTAACAGAGTTTTAAGAGACTGAAATCGAATAGTCAATTAAAAAAGAACATAACACTGACAATAGAGTCCGATGAAATCTTACACTATTAAATTTCTACTATTTCAAAAAACTGGTAGTCATCGTCCAAGTCTAATTTTTGGTAACATCCCTCTCAATTAAATCACAAAAAACCATTATTCTTCAGCATCATAATAAAAATCAAATAAGTTTGGTAACCACATAAACCTAATTTCAGTTGCTCCGTGAATGGGCACTAGTGGACAGTAGAACGCTGAAAAGCAGACTCGATATGGAGACGCTAACCCATCCAATGCAGGAACACACTAGCATTGTATATAAAAAAATCTACCCGTAAGCATAATAAAGAGTCTTTTTAGAGCAACACGTAGATCTATAGCCATACCAAAATTTTAACAAAATTTGAAAAAATTATACATACCAAACAACTCACTTTGAGAAACAATCAAAATATTATAGAAATGTTCAAAGACCCTACGTTCTGATACAGTGCTGCAATAAAACCTTCCAAACAATTTCTTTCATTCTTCATCCTACAATTACATAATGCTGCACTCAAGTATACAAATTGTTCCTCTTAATTACATTCATCACAACACATTCCAATGAAAATATCACTAAATAAATAAAGACGTTGAAAAAAAAAAAAAAATTAAAACCACTCCTCAATACTGTCACAACAAGCTTAAAAAAATAAAGCAACCTAGAAGCAAAAGTGACAAAAATAAATCCATGAAACAATTTTAACCTAACAAATGCGTGACAGATAAACTCAAGTTTATAAAACTCGAATATATAAGTCATACTGTTTAAACAAAAAAGAAAAAAAAAAGTGCGTCATGTCAGTGACGATGAAATTCAAACTTAAGGCAGATTTGACTTATATTAACCCTCAATTTCTTCTGGTATTCTGCCCTCTCGAAAGAATAAAAACTTATGCTAGGAAAAAATTAAACTGCAGTAAACATCTCTGAAGGATAACCTGGTAAAGCTATTACTTATTTTTCACTTACTACCAAAATATCTACTAGCTAATCAGATTCAAAGAGCATGCACTAGACGCCGCTACATCAGTAAAAGAGCAGTGCAAATTGTTACAAAATCACTTACTCTTTCATTCACTTTTCTTCTTCCTCTGCTCTTAAAAACTTTGTATATCTACTGTAACTCTTCCTCAAATAGTAATCAAATCTGCAATCAAAGCTGCATGATCATCTTAAAAAAATGAAAAAGAACTTAATCTCCACGTAAAAAAGCAAACTAAACCAAGCGAAATAACCTCAAAAAAGTTGTACACACAACTGCGAGCCTATAGATAAATAATAAATAAACAAAGAATTCTTGGTCTCAGCAATCTGTACTGCAAAAATTAGAGTCATTAACAAAACAGACGTAGAAGACCAATCCAACATAAGACAGCTGCCTGCATTACTCGATTTTGAAAAAAAAAATCAATTATTGTCAAAACTTACACAGAAAAAAAGTAGTATCCCTCTACACAAAATCAAGTCAGTTTTGTGTAGCATTCACTAAATCAATAGTTACCACTTCTCTGAAAACAACCAATAACAGAATGAAATAACAATCAAAAACAATTTCCTCATCCTTAAAAAAACAAACGGGACGGAGGAACACATAGTTTCAAAAAGAAGTTCCAACAATTCACTTTAAATTCACTATATCGAGACACTTAAATTAATTGTTCCTCACATTAATACAGTGCCAATTTTTTAGTCGGTATTTTATAGGAAAACCACATTTAAAGTGTACGAACCGATAAAAACTGGAAACCTCTTGAAAAAAGAACACTCCTTTAACGTCCTTTAAAAAGCACCTCAAAAAAAAAAAAATTAATCAGTACAAACGATCATGAGAAAACATCTCTGTGCATTTCATAAATTATAGGAGCATTATCTTCATGACTGCCGTCATTATCAAGATCTGCGGAAGCATCGTATATTTCTGTAGCGTCACGAATGTGGGTTGGATGCGACTGCTCAGCCATATTCCACCTGATAGCAATCAATACAGCAATGATGGCACCTCTCAAAGAAGTGTTGACAAATATCACGAGAAACTGAATCAGCTGGAATCCCCAAACATGATTCATTGCAGAGCTCCACATATACCCGTTCAAAAATGCCATTTCCATCGTAGAGTTGGCAATGCATAAATTCAATCTGAAAAGCAACTGTTTAAAATTTAGATAAAAAAATATCACTTATGAAAATTTTTCAATTGAAAGCATTTTAACAAGATTCCTCTTCTAAATACATACTATTACAGTAAATTTGCAAAAAATTCTGCTTTGAAATAAAAGTATCGTAAAAACAAATAAATATATGATTAAAAATACGATAAAGCCAGCACAAATAAAAGCATAACATACAACGAACTTCCAGGTACATGACCTTAATTATTGAAGCCGCTTTACAGAGTTCGCCGGTCAGGTACAATACATACCAAAACAAATTTTGAAGAAACTTCTCAAAAATTTATAATAGCTCATAAAGCAGCTCAACTTAAGCGTTTTAACCAAAGATGAAAAACCGCCGTAGAAGATTTTCAAATCCATCAATTTCTTGTTTCAAAGATAGAAGTTTTTTCTTTCGAGAAAAAGATTCATTCTCTGACTGGAATCTACAAATCTTTAATAGTAATTTCTAACAGATGTTCTTGACGGGTAATCAAACCACCGTGAAAAAGCGCACATTATAGTTTTCTGACTGGACGGCATGAAGTTGACCTCTCTATTTTCATTCTAACCCCTGCTTGAACTTCTCTGATCATCTTAAGTATTATCTGTAAACAACATTAACGATTTGCTCTTAATGATAATTAGTTCTCCCGCAATGGAAAAAGAGCAAAACTCATTGTACAATGAGGAATAGTCTAACTTACACGATTCTCATCTATCCAATTCCTAAGATATGCAAGTTTTGCAAAATCAACAAAGAACTGATGTTGCCAGTATTCTGTACTTCTAAACACCAATTTTGAAACCTTTCGGATCACATCTTATTAAGTGTCTTTGATGATGCCGCTTGATACTAGATCTCGATGCACTGGCATGCTAAGACTAAAACTTACCCTCAATACCACTTCAAAATCACCAAGAAAATCCAATCTCCGATCAAGAAGTAAAAATAAATTAATTTTTTAAAAAATTTCAAACAAAGAAACGTTATGACTTCTAAAACGAAGCAGGTCCTAGCTATCTGCAAAATCACTGCATACGTCAAGCAGAAAACCAATCCAAAGGTTACATCACAAAAAAGAAACGTTTTTAGATTGAGCTCATTTCTACGAAAAAGCGTTGCACCGTTCCACGAGGGAACAAAGTTCTTGCTTCAAAGCACCGTAAGAGATTAGGACATCAGACTGAAAGAGCTTGGCAGATCTATCGCCTCCTTCCAGTAATACTCTTCCAAACTGATACTAATCTAGCAATTGTGACATACTTTTGGTAAGAACCGGTCAAAAAGAATTTGAAACCGTCTCAGCTTCCAGTCCAGTCTAAGTCAGAAACTTTTAGAAACATGAAGCTCCATACATACGTAGAATGCAAAAAGTTATGAAGAGAGCCAGCGATTATGCAATTAGCCAAAAGCAGTCCCAGAAAAGTCCAAAAAATTAATTCTGAACTAAGCTTCGCAATCAAATCTGTTTTATAAGAAAAAGAATACAATGACGTTTAAAAATTTAGTTTTTCATGACTGGTCAGGGTTTTTTTTTTTGCACTGACACTTTAAACCAAATTTTACTTGAATATCAATTTACCTGTCGTTCAACCATAATCTCTAAATAATTAGCCAATTACAAAAAATTACACTTCTTTTAATGTAAATCACTACTTTAAGAGATTTAAATTCCTGTCAACAAAACCTGTTTGAAGATTATTGATATTTAAAGAATCACCTTGATGAATGGTCCCATTTTTTAAGCGCCCACCTCACTTCCAGTAATGATAAAATATGAAACGTAGTAAAGGTAATATATATCAAAGAGCGAAAATTGTTCGATGCCACATTACCTCTGGCAGACATTACAAGTGAGTAAATAGTGTCTCTTAAAAATCACTTTTTTAGAATTAAACAAATGAAAAAAAAGTAAAAAATGAAATTGAATGAAAACTCACGAAAAAAGTAGCATTAACAATATAATTCCAAATGTAATTTCAAACATAAAGATGATGAAAAGCGCCTTATGATATGGAAGTTTTGTAAACGTCAAATACAACCGATGAGAAAGAGGAGCTGGGCGAGGCACGGTACTCTAGAAGTACTTCAAGTAACATCGATATTATTTTAAGTTGAAATTAAAAAAAGTTTATGACCTTTCACAAACAATTCCCCCTTTTCCCAATTCTAAATAATCTCAAAAATCCAAAAAATATTTGTACCTGTCGCAGAGAAAAATTTGAATGCCAGTCTGACGTAGGATCCAGCATTGATCCCCATGGCTAAAATAACCGCTAGATTAATTAAATGACTTCCTTCTTATTAAAGAGAAAAATTCATATAAGAAATTAATATAAACAAAAAAAAACAATAATAATAAAACTCGTCTCATGCTAACCATTTTGTACACTAATGCTGTTTTATAAAACGCAAATAAAGCAAAAGCAGCAACAATCGTTATTGGGCCAAACATTATTGTATACCCAATTAAATGATTAATAAATAGCGATCCAGTTAAAAAATGTGTTCCGCTTTCAATGTGCTTGACGACATCTTTACCTGACATCAGAAGATCAAAAACACTGGCGAATTTCGACTGCAAATCAAATATTTCACTCTTTTGTTCATAAACATAGTCAAAGACAAAAGTACCAAAATACAAACCGCTAACAAAGCCGGCACGGTCGACAAAAGAAAGACGGTATAAAGTGGACTTGTTGGACCAATTAAATAATGGAACAACGATACATAAGTTTCAGTTGAAGAAAGCATCAATCGTACGTCAGCATCCAAGTTGTACCAACCTTAAAACGACTACACAGTCGTAGTAACCATTTGAACTGGAAGCCAAATGAAATACAATAAAACAAAAAATATCAAATAACGGACCGTATATGAAGACGACGACAACGAAAGCAAAAATTTGTGTGATTGACGACTGAGACACGTAAGAAAAAAGAGTTGCAAGCGAAGTCCCCATCTGAAAAGTTGTTATTACACAAATCCTACATCAACTAGCATAAATCATATTAATACTCCCATCTGAAGTGACAGATGAAACCCAGAGACAGACACTCATCTTAAAAACCACATGTATAAAAGAGCAGTGGATTGAAGACTCAAGACTGCACCACACAGCTAAAATCACGGTGAAAGAGCGACGATTAAAATGTGCAGCTCACAAAAACTTTGGCAAAAAGGATAATTCACCAAGTTTCAAATTTCTAAAAGTAACAGAAAAGAGGTAGAGAAATTCTTGAAGCGCAAAACAGTTTCGAAAATGAGTCAAATTCAGATATTCCGCCTCACCACCAAATTTATTAATCTTGAATCCCGAAAATCTTTGTAATAAGAAATAAGACCAATGTACATTATAAAAAAATCTTGCCATTTGAAGAACGCATTCTCTTTATCAATTTATTTAAAGTAAGATACATATGTAAAAAAACATAAATGCCCAAATTAACAGCTATTTTTTTTTTTTGTCGACTGTCAAATGGAAATAAAATTACTTTATCGTAGTTACTTTCAATTGCTTAAAAACGGTTATTCAAATTACCAGTTTTTCTCCTCGCAATCGAAGAAAATGCATTATTCAAAGCTTGTGACAACTCTAAAAACGTTGAAAAGCTTATTCTTTACAAAACGTTTCTTGAACCCAAAAAAACTCAATTATTAACCCCAACCCATTTCAACTTTCAAGACCCGGAGAAACAACCACATCACTCAGGACCATCAATTTCAATTTTCTGTAATTCCACATTATTAGAGCCAACTTTTCTTTCCGGAAAAAACCGTTGAAAAGGTAAAAACGAACAAACATTCGCAGCACGTTAAAAAAGTAACCTAATTGAAGATATTGTAAAAACAGGATATTTTATAGCTTCGAGCAGTCATTCTGTCAATTAAAGCAGAATTGTGAATTAAAAAACAGGTATTCTTTTGATGTGGAAACACGCTATTTAGAAAAGACCCTTGGGAGAATTCCTTTGAAAAATTTAGAGGAAATAGATTCTCAAACAAATATAAATAAAGAAAGACTACAGCTCAAAAAAAAAAATCGCTTACAAATAGCACACCAATAGAAGAACACTTCGAAGATTTTTCAAACAAGCTATGCGAAAAAAAATAAAGTTTTCACTTTTTATTTCCAATCGCAAAAAAAAATTAGGCCTTCAAGTAATATAAAAGAATGTTAAATATAGTAGTGAAAAAATGGAGTTAAAGAGCCCGACAAAACTTAATACTTAAACTCTAACGGAAGATTAAAACAGTGTAAAATCAATACTGATCGGCAGTAATAAACTAAAATTATTTTTTAAATAAATATGAAAATGCTTCATAAATTTATGAAAATCCGTAAGGATCTTAGAGGACTTACAGTACCAACAAAAAGGCAAACTCCAAATTGCAAGATTGGAAGCAAGCAAAAAGTACTTACCGGCATCAATAAAAAGACACCAAAAAAGGCAAAAATCGAGCAAATCAACGCAAGAACTTGTGTTGCATAGTGTTCCAAAGCAGGAAATTGTTCCACAAATATGTTATGAATAAAAAGTAAAAATATAGTCTGAAATGAAATTATCATACTAACTTCTTTCACAAACAACTTGAATAAAAATAGGCGACAAAATTTCTAATTAGAAAAAACTTTTGCTAAAACTAAAACCAAGATTTTTCCTTGAAATAATTTTATACAATATACCATTGGTCCAACACATGCATAAAGAAAGTTGGCAGAGTAGTATAAGAGAGCCCAAAGAGGCCCTCCTCGTGAAGTGGCAAAACAGACTGCTGCACTGTCAAAAGAAAAAACTGCTTCTGAAAAGATCAACAGAATCCAGGCAAAAAAAAAAGACATATTTGATAAACAAGTAAAGGAACGGTGCTTTGAAGACCGCTCCAATAAAGGAAAAAACATTCAAATGCCGCAAACAAAATTAAAGTAACTTCCTATCATAAGTTAAGTAAAAATCAATAAAGTCAAAAAATAAACAAAGAAATTCTTTGTCCTCAGCTGACCTGTGGCAATGTAACTTCTATAAGCTGCTTGTTGACTATACAGGTGTCCACTGCATCCAGTACGTAACAAATATAAGAGTATAGGAGCGAACTAAAATTGTTAAGATTTCAGCTACGAAAATAAAAGAAATTTCACCTACTTATTCGATACTCCCACCCCAGTGATATAACTACTCAGTATAAAACAAAAAAAAAAAAAAATTTATGAAAAAACCTCTCCATCTTTCGCTTCCTACGAAAATACAGCTTACTTCAAAAATTTTCGTTAAAAAACTTACAACTGATGCCGCAACACAGAAAAACCATCTGTGGCGTTAATATTAAAAAGGAATAAAACGATGGAAAAAGTAGTGCACGATGTTGAAATAAATGATAAAAAGTAGTGCGATAAAAAGGTAACACCTCGCAGCACACTTGCTTACACCATCATGAAATAAACAAAAACAACAAACCATTTGTCCCAATACGACAACCACAGCGTTCATTGGTAAACTCGAGCTGCGAAGTTTGCTCGATGCAAACAATATTAGTCCGCTAAATGCTGAGCAGTAATCCATAAGAACTATTGAAGTCCTGTAAAACCCCTGAAAGAGAAAAATTAAGTAAAACTTTTGAAGTTATTGTGATGTGTGCAAATTGTCAGGTAATATTAACTGAAAACAACTTTGCGAAACAACAATTAACAATATGTAAGAAATACAACAAGACAAAAAATGCATCCTAACATACATGTATACCAGAGAAATACTCTACAGGACCCTCTTCAGTCTCAGCTAAAGGAACTTCTTTTTCTGATGAACCAGTAAACTTAAAACCGAAGATGAACAATCCCAAGTCCAAAACAGAAAAGAGGATAACAGGAAGGGCGAAACAGAACCATGAGAGAAACTTGCCAGGATTAGAACCAAATCTAAATAAAAAAAATGCGCCCAAAAACCCTGGTTAACATAAAAGCAAACACTAATAAAAAGCTCTCACTACTTTAAGGCCTTCCGTAAGAAACAGTCGATAGTTTAGAAAGTCACAACCCTACTCAGGTAAAACGTTCCTTCTCAATTAAAAAAATCTATAAAACAACAAATCCACTAACATTATGGTAAATCGAAAAGCATCAAAAAACCTCAAATTACCCTTTTTTTTTGACGGTGATAAATAATCTAACTTTTTCGATGTTGACCAAAAGAGTTAAAATTGTGTTAATATCCCTTAACAAAACACATTAGCGCTACTGTTGTTCTGATTTTTTTTCCGGTACTCCAAATGCTACTGCTTCTGTGCATACAGGAATTTTTTGATAAAATTGAACAAGAAGAAGCATAAGTGCTTAAGCACCAAGTTTTTTAGCAAACATTTTGAACAAACTTTCTACGAAACCATTTACTAAGATAAGTATAACCAAGATATTTCCTGACGCTTCTCAAGTAATGAGCTTCGATCTCAACACTCATAAAGAAGAAACCTAGTGACATTAACAAATATGCTATTTCGCACTTCAGAAACAATGAGCAGTTACCCTTTAACGCATAACAGAGAAAAAATGAGGGCTTTCACAACAAATTCACGTTTTTTTTTTTTTTTTTTTTGAAGTCTAATGAGCATTACTCATCTCAAATTCAAGTCATCCCAACCACTCCCCCGAACAATAAAAAACCCATCAACTTCGACAAAATGCTTCTAAGAACTGACTTCCTAAATTATCAACAGTTTTTCGAGAAGACCACCTAGAACATGAAAAAAAGTAAGAACTCTTCAAGCCGCTGACACCAATGAAAACTTGAACTTTAACACAAGCAGTTACTTCCGCCATAAAAATGAAACTTCAACAATTCATCAGCAATGACAAAAGTTTTGGATAAAAAGCATTATTAAATAATAAAAAATTTTTTGGCTGAAAATACGACTGAAATTAGTAGCTTTACAAAGAAAATTGGCTGTTAAACTGTTAGCAACTGCATTAGAGTGAAAAGAACTGTATATAACTATGAAACACCCCTTTGCCAATGACCCCAGCCAGTTACAAATTAGAGGTGCTAAGAAAAGTTGTAGATAAACGTACCTGAGTACAATAGAGAACAAGATCGCCCATACCAAGAAATGACAAAATGTTAGAGGAAATGATGAAAAAGCAAAAGTGAATTTCTCTCCTGGAGAAACAAAATACCAAGCATTAGGTGCCCATTTAGTTAGGTTCTGATTGAGTGAAACTTTACGTACACCATACCTGCAGAAATAAGACCTCAGAGGATTGTTCAATACATGCCTGAACGACTACCAAAGCAAACAAGGTTCTTCGAAATTATAATCTTACAACTTGAAAACCCACTAAAATCACTGTATCAGAAAAATCTAAAAAAATACTCAAATTTCAGGAAAAAATAAACGAAAACTACCCTCCAAAAGAGTTAGCACTTACCTATTAAACTGCTGAGCAGGCCAATTATTATCAGGCCAGTAAGTTACCTCGTCCAAAGTAACATTTTCAGCACTGAAGTTCATACAATAGGCATTGTTATAATTTGGATGTCCACAATCGACGGCCCAGTCAAGCCGCGTTCGTAGCGAATAAATAAAATAGAGCAGATTCTGCGCAGCACTTAATGACTGCAGAAACAAACGTTCACTAACTAACCAGGTTAATGCCCAACCAACCCCTGAAAAAAAAAATAGACTCAATTTTTAAATATCATAAATCATTTAAAAACTACTCAATTAAAAATTAGTGCTGTTTCAGTTGCCCTTAACTACTCACAATAACCAACTATATGAAAATTTTCAATGATACCAAGATGTTTCTGGAAACTATATTATCAATATAGTTTCCAGAAACATTTTGGTATCATCTAAATTCATCTATCAACTATTATAAAAATTAAATATGATGTGAAAAAAAAAACCAAATTTTACTCTTCCATATAAAAGCTAACAAAGTGAAAAACAACTATAGCCAAGAAGACGAACCTAAAAGAGTTATCCCATCTACTAATAAAGAAAGTATCCGTCTTGCCACAGTTACAAAGCTATTAATGTAAACATATCCCACACTAATAGCTTCAAAAAAATGTTAAGAAGCCGCAAGATCAAGAAATCTCATTGAATGCTATTATGATAGAATAAATCAGTTAAACCTTAAATCAAATTCAAATAGAAATAAGAATACTAAAGCTAACTGTATGCATAAAACAATTTCAAAATCATAACCAAACAAGCAACTGCTGAAAAAAACAAGTTTTTTTTCTTTGAGGATTAATCAAAATTATAACTTTCTGATAAGCGGAGGCAAATCAGTGGCACCATACAGATTTGGAATCTTGATAAGGTTAATATCAAAATCTACTAACCAGACGCAATCGGTGCTATTCGCGCAAATGTGAGAACTGGTCCAGCACCAGAAACAAAACCCAAATTAATAAATAAATTTATCGCAGGAAGTGAGAACACTAAAAATATCAACGGCCAAGAAAGTAAACTTTGAGCAATAATATGAGCATAAGGTGCTCCTGCCAGGATAGCGATACTGTACGCGTCAATTGCATCTGCAGCTATGAGCATCGTTTCGCCCGACACCTTCGGCCACTGGTTAACAGCAGAGCATTAACTGACGATACAACAATACCTTTCAATTAGGAGTTAAATTTTTAAATTTCAGTTATACAACATCGCTTCTTCATTTTATCTAAACAAGCATAACAAAAAAAGTATTATAAGAATCAAAATTTATTTCCCTCAGCGAACATTGACAACATAACAAAAAAAAAAAACCAACTTAAAACAAAATAAAGATAGATATATAAATTACAAACAATAAATATATAAGCGTAAAATAATGATCTTTGTTCATAACAAGTGATAAAAGCAGATGAGCAAGGAAAAGTAATAAAAAAAAATGGGTTTAATGTAACCTTTCCACCGGTTGTTACTGTAACAGCCTCACTCAACACGTAAAGCAAATAAAATACTAGCTTCAGTTTCTGAAGCAATCAAAAGCCAATGTAATTTATAAAAAATAATTTAGAACCATAAATTAAAATGTCAATGAAAAGCGAAGGAAAAAAACAAACCGCTAAACAACTGCTTTTTACCATGTAAGCAGTTTATGTGGTGAAAAGACTTACCAACAGAAAGGTTAACCTTTCTGGTTTAAGGCGCAACCGTGGCAAATACCAAACGCAATATCTCAAAGTAATCACCACAGCGTCAGATAACTTAAAAACTTAAATAACCACTTGAAACAGATCGCTTCTTCTTTTTTAAATTTTTAGAGTTCTTCCCTTATCCTTCACCTACTCCACAACTTTACCCTGGCAAAATTCGAACTCATCCAACTGTTTCTACAAGAATTTCTTATAATAAGTGAAGAGTGTTTCCATGTATTAGAAAACCAGCGCCGTTTTTCACTCAAACCTTATGCCTTCACTTGGAAATATTAATGACAAATGAGACAAGATTTATTAGCTTCCGTTCGAATGAATATCAAAGCATACGTATTCTCAAAATAGTTAAATCTATTTTGATACGTATTGTCGTAAAGTGATTTTCAAAAAAACTTTAGAAACGTTACTTCTAACGATTATCCATTTAAGAACAAGCTTAAAAGCTAGTAGAAAAAAGTGTACTTTTTAAACACTGATGCAATAAATTTTTGTGAGGATAATATGACAAAAAACACCATGCTTGACTAAAAGCAAATTTTAAGATCGTAATTACCCTCCACTTCAATCAAATCAGTTTACAGACATCGCAACCCCAATAAAACAATCGGCAAACAAGAGAGTCGGCAAACAATCGGCAAACAATAAAAGAGTCCCAGCCGCCTTCAATTTTTGGGAACGAATACTGCAACTCATTTACTGCTTAATTCTGAATTTTCTTTAGTGAGTTAAAAGTTCGTTTTCTTGACATTGTTGGACGTGATTTAATTTGGCTAGAATAAGGATCAGCGTTCCTAAAATCCCCTTTGACTTTGAAACATTTTTCTTTTAAGACTTTGTCTTTATCCGAAGTTCTCCAGATTTCCTTCACTTATAAGTGTTAGCATAGATGAACAAAAGTAGAAATGGAATTGGCGAAATTCAAGGTTTTGCTATTTCACCGCAACGTGAGAAAAATTTATAATAGTGATGAGCAAAAGGCTTCAATGTTTATCTTCAAATTATTCAAAGTGCACTCTCTCACTTTCGTAACCAT